TGAATAACTGAGTAAATGCCATTGCTAAATCAACAGGTAGTTTAATCTGTATGAATCAGTGACAAACACGACGGAGGCAGCGAGAAAGAGAAACTGGAGCGAACAGATTTTAACTTATGTCTGCATTATTAATTGTCATTATTCTAATGACACTGCACTGACAGCTATGAACACGTTCGTGACCTGTAAAGAAGAAAATAAACTTTTTGATTTGATCTTTCCACCATTGCTAAAGGTTTATTTCTATCTTCGTTATTTCCCGAATTATTAAAGATCAAAATGTGTCAGAACTTTTGTAGACATCCTGTATTTATGAGGGAGAGGCAATAGATAGATCACAGATGGATATAAAATGTAAAATTTGTGGTTGAACCTTAAAAAAAACATTTATTTCTCGACATTGGCACACTTGTCCCATCGCTTTACCAGTGTGTCGAAACCCGCAGAAGAGAAGCCTGTAGACTTGTCTCTGTCACTTCCGCACCCCCGTTTCAACATCTTCATCATCAGCTAAACGTTTTCCAGCCGGTTGTGAACCGCTTAACGCGACAAACACTTCCCACCGTAAATAGAAACATTTCTTTATTAATATCCTTTGCATTGAGTCCTTTTGTATGCAAAAAGAAGCACAACAGGACGTTGCTCTTTGGTAGTACAATCATCAAGCACTGTCGCCATTTTGATTACTGAAACCAGCCTCTGAATATGCGCATGCGTGCCTGATACCTAGACTGCCATGAAGCTGGACCGTGCTGCTACCTAGTGATACACATACAGAAACCCTATTGCGTCCACTATGGCGGTTTTACTTCCGTTTGTGACGTATTTACTCACTCTGCCTGGTATATATTTTAACCACAGTTTTGGTAAGATGCTAATTACGAGTTAATTTATTATAATTACAGTGCAAAGAGTTACATTTATTTTAATAAAAATGGGGTGGAGACATAAGAGTTCCATTAAAAGAAGTAATGGGTGGGAGATTAATATAAAAATTTATGAACTACTGAACTAGGTTAATGGCTTCTTCCGGCTTTATAATGTCCATTAATTTCTTGGTCACCCTAAAATTCTTTTGTCCCTCGGCATATGAAAGGTTATCTTTTGGAATTCTTATATTTTGCATCCTATCCTGGTGCCCAATGCTTCGTTTCCTGCATTACACTCTTTTCTATAATTACAAGTATTCCTGGTTCATTCCTGGTATCCTGGTATTATTAATGCTGTCAAGTCGGGCGCAACTTCTAAGTGTTCCTAGAAACACGGTACTTCTCTGTCGTCACGAAATTGCATGCGATTTGCGGGAATACGCGTGACTCAGCCATTAGAACGCACGCAGTGGGGGCAACATGAAGGGAAATCACTTGAAAGTGACTTTAGGTTGCCGTGGCTCCTATTTCGTTCCAGAAACCTCGGTAACTTAATCACAAAGTCACTTACTAGGTACACAACGGCATAGCTCTTGATCAAATATCGCATCTTAATAATCTCCCATACCTCGAAACTAAAAGTAGACTGTCCTTCGTAAGAGTCACATTAAAGCTCAAGATTTCTTATCTGAAGCGCCGACGAAATTAATTCCATAAATTTTCGTCCTTCTCTAGAAGCTAACTGTTGCTCATTTACTGAAGAAATTAACTAGGAGTCTATGAAACAGGAAGTTCATTACCGTGTTCACAACAGCTCACCAACTGGTCCTTATCCTAAGCCAGATATATCCAGCCCACAAACTTTCATCTTATTTCTCTAATATAACTTTAATGTTGTTCCCATCTTCGTTTTGGTCTTCCCAGTTGTCTATTTCCTTCTGATTTTCCCACTAATATCCTATATGAATTAATCTTCTCTCCATTCGTTCTATAGGTCCTGTCCATCTCATATATGCAGCGTCTAACACATATTTCATGTTGCGTCACCATCAAATTGTCAAGTAGTTACGTCATCGTTAGAAAGGCATTAGCTTCGGTTCTCTTCATGCAATCAGAGGCATAACTGCTCACAAGAAAATTTTATTTTGTAAAGTTGGCTACTCGTAGAATGATTTAGTCTCAAAAAGATGTGTTGGCCAGACAATATAAAATACAATACCCAAGTCTGTAATACTGATGTGTAACCAAGCATTATTATTGCTAGTAGATCCTGAAGCCGGTCACGGTAGCCGAGCGGTCTAAGGCATGCACTGTCTTCGCTCGCTCGGAAACCGGGATCGTGGGTTCGGTTCTGTTTCCTGTGAGGTACGAACTGAATTCTTATATATTGTTCTTATACACTGCCGGTCACGGTAGCCGAGCGGTCTAAGGCATGTACTGTCTTCGCTCGCTCGGAAGCCTGGATCGTGGGTTCGCATCCCAATCAGGGCATGGATGTTTGTGTGCGTGTACAGGTAGAGGCCTTGCGACGAGCTGATCACCCGCCCAAGGAGTCGTGCCGAATGTGTAAGATCTAGAAAAACCGAAGTGAACGGATAAATTCATGGAGGTAGGCCTAGGCGTACTGGGGCTGTAGTGCCAAGGAGGGAAAGAAAGTAGATCCTGAAGGGTTCTGGAAAATCAAAAAGGCCCCAACATTACTATGAAGATGGTCACAGGGTAAGCTGGAATGAAGCTAGTGATGAAAGGCAGCAACACAATGGTGAAAGTCAAATAATAGCGACGCTCCGTAATTACGGTTGCGCGCGGAAGTATCCATAATGCAAAGATGCAAAATGAGAAAAGTTTTATGTGCGGGTTGCATATATCCAGGTGCACTGCATTACTGTTCGGCATCGCTGCAGTAATTATTAAATCGTTTCTATTCTTTTGAAATTAATTATTTCTGTTACTATACAATTCATCTGTTATATAAGCTACCACTAGTACATTAATTACACTTTCCTCTCCTAAGGAATAAACAGTAATTGCTTTCGCAATATCACATACATTAATTTATTTATTTATTCCTTCGACTTTCCCATTTCTTTTTTTTCTACTTATTCAAAAAAGCTTTCACTTTAATCTCAACACTGCAGCTTGTTTAGTCTTCCCCATTCAATAACCCACGATGTCTATTATTTTTCTTGCAGTCTCTGAATAATTATTCTTACACAGAAATCCATTTACGAAATATATTCGTGTATCTTTATTTTATTTTTATCATGTAATTACACACATCAATTCTTCGGTGTGTAACTTACCCAGTATCTTTTTTATTGCTAGTGGGGTGGGACTAAGTCCCTTGTACTGCGGCCACTTCTGGCCTATTGTACTTGCCCCAGATGATAGGTGAGTGTGATTGTGGAGCAATTAAAACCAGAGAGGCAGAGGGTGAAGCGGGAAGGGGGCTGACGAAATAAATATGCAACCAGCAATTAAGAAGAGGCGTCAAAATTCGACGCAGTGTTTGTGTGTACGAAGGATCCGGTCTTATGAGATCTTTCCTAATTCCAGGAAGGTGAGTCCTTTTTGAGAAGCCAACACTCTCAGCTACTGAAGAATTTTCCAATATATTCTGAAACCCGAAGGTTTACTACCGGGTTCACGACAGTCGGCCACTTCTTCCTATCCTGAGTGAGATCCACCCAGTCCATACCATTGAAACGTATTTCTTTAACATCCATTCTAATATTATCCTCCCACTTATATATATCTTTTCCCAGTGGTCTCTTTCCATGTGGCCTTTCCACCAAATGCTATATGTTCTGCCCATGAAAATTCTTTCCTTTGTACTGCATACAAGTCCTCTGTCAGTCCAGGGTTTGGAAAGCAGTTCATGCATATCTTACTTAGCCTGTGCAAAACGTCAGCTTAACTTATTTCGAAGTCGTTGCCTAGCAACGGATCTACATGCCACAATACTTATATAACTATAAAGCACCGGGGTAAAAAATACAGACATTTTTCATGTCCGCAGTACAGTGTGGGTTCAGAAACATTGGAACAAGCGACGATGCAAATACAATGACACATATCAGGCTTACGAAACTTGTTCTATATATGCAGTAAATTTTCGTTATAACGGACCAGTACGTAACGGATTCTGGATACAACGGGCAAAATCTGAATGTGTTTATTTAGGAATTTTTAAAGACGTTAAGGCAATAAGAAAATTTTGTAGTAAGAAACCCTACTATAAAAATATTTATTATAATAATATCGTGTGTTTATATGTTTATTGCGCGTGTTGATTATGTATCCAGGAGTCGGGATAGCTCAGTTACGGGGTAGATGGCCCGAGGTTCGATTCCTGGCATGGCAAAATGTTTTTCACCACTACAGCATACAGACCAAATCCGGGGGTTCACTCAGCCTCTTATCCAATCGATACCGAGGCGACTTCCCAGGAGTTAAAGCCGCCGGTTCATGAAACTAAGCACTCACCTCCATCTAGTGCCGAGATCAAAACTAGTAGAGCAATACCTCCACTCCTCTATATGTCTTCATGGCAGTGCTTGATCATGAACAGGGACAGATTTTACATTCTTTCTTTACCATTGGCTGAGCATCCTAAGGTGTAAGTAAAAAAGTAAAGCTATCCCTGTAACAGGCCGTGAAGGCCCATAGGGTTGTGAGACGTTAAGGGTCCCACATTACCTTGACACTCAGCTCACAGATGGCGGTAAGGTTGTCAGCCTTACGCGCCGGCCGCGCTTCACTCCCCAGGAAAATCATTTAATTAATTCCAGGTACTCATTTCTTTCAGAGGCTGAGTAAACCCCAGGGTCTAGTGCGTCCGGAAGGATTAGGTCAATTGAAAAAATCCCTCACCGGAACGTGAACCCGCGACCTTCCGGCTTGTAGCATAATACCTTAACCACTACGCTACCTAAGGTGTACTTCCGTGAATATTCCTTCACTCAGTTATAAAGGATATCGGCCATAACGGAAGTCCCACCCAATTAGTCCGTTATAACGAGAATTTGCTGTATAAGGATTATTATCGCAATTATTATTATTATTATTATTATTTTTTTTTTATTATTATTAGAGGCGGTTGGTTCCCCATGCAGTTAGACCAGNGCATGCCTACATCGGGCAGTAGAACAGAGTTCCTGGCGGTGGACGAGCTGGGAGCCGCCACTGAAATCAAATATGGCCGCACCGGCGGCTGGTTCGTGTCCACCAAGAAGGCGATATTTCTGGGACTGCTCGTCATCTTGGCCCTGGCGCTAGTGGGCATCTTAGTCCACTACATGACAACTTGCAAAGGGATGAAATCGGTACAAGTTCCCGTTACAGTATTATCTTCTGTGTGACATCATAAATAAACTTATTACTACCATTAACAGGTTATATATACTATCAGTGATTTCCAAAATATATTCTCCCCCCCCCCCTGGAGGGGGCAATAATATGGTCAGAGGGCAACAGGATATTTTGAGAAATTGATATTAAAACTGAATTAATTACAATTCTCAAAATCTTAAGGGACACGCGGTAGAGTAGTTGGTTGAGGCTCTATGCTAGAAGCTGGAAGGGCGCGGGTTCGATTCCCGTTAAGGTAATTGCATTTTTCAATTTACCTAATCTTTCCAGCCGCACTGTGGCCCTGGGGTCGACTCAGCCTCTAACAGAAATGAGTACCAAAAATGTTCCTGCGGGGTAAAGGGTGGCCGGAGCTTAAGGCTGACAAACCGTCATCTGTGAGCCAATTTTGTAGAAAATCTCGGAGCCTCGACGTCTCACAACCCTATGGGCCTCCACGGCCTGTTACAGGGATAGCTTTACCTTACTATCTTCTTGGATATGACGTCATGTGGAAGTCTATAGGAGGCTACAGGAGATAGTACTGTACAATCCGCTTAGTTTTTAATCTTATATTTCAGGGTAAAGACATTGGTGCAGAAAATGAACCGTCAGTAGCTATACCACATGAAACACCAAATACGAGTGAGAACACGAGCATACCAATAGCTGAATTGCTTCTGCCAAAAGCCATCACGCCGTCGTATTACCGACTGAGACTCGATCCGTACTTAGACGACCCAGCATCAGATGGCAGTAACTTCACTTACAAGGGGCACGTGTCCATAACAATCCACTGTCACAATGCCACGAACAGTGTGTCATTCCATGCAAAGGGCTTGGAAATCGGAGAAAATATCAACGTTACGTTGTCCAATGAGACCAACACAAAGACCACGGTGACCAGCGTTTTGTCATCAAGTACAGCGACAACAGCGCCAACATTCACAGCGGTATACAGCAACACTACCTCAGACGCAGGTGAGTGGATGCCCTTCGGGCTTCTACTGTACTCTTGTCATACTCGACAATCAGAATTCTGGCATCTGGTAGATATTTATAAACATGTTCGAGGAAATTACTTTTTCCATCTTCAGGTAAAAATATAAATTTGTAAGATCTGAGTTCCCATCACCCATGTGACCATAATGATTACTGTTTCTTGGATGTGATAACATGGAATGTGGTAGATACTTATAAACATCTCCATCTTCAGGTTAATATGTATCAGACTACATGGTGTCACAACCCAGAAGACAGAAAGTAAAGATACGAGGTCCTGAAAATATTTGTAATGCATTATTTTAGGATTCCCTTGTAGCACTTTTACAACACACCTTTAATTACTTTTCAACATAGTCACCGTGGATCGCAATGCACTTCGTGAGCCTGGGAACGAGTTTGTTTATTCCAGCGTCGTAGAAATCTCCCGCCTGCTCTCTTAGCCATGGAGAACAGTTATTGACACTTCTGGACATTTTTGATGAAGTTCATCGATGATTGAACATCTGGCAGCAGGAATGTTTTCATCAGTTTTTTGGATTATTTCATCAGTGACAACAGATGGCCTTCACCATGAACATCACTTCTTCCCTCTGCAAATTTACAACACAATTTTGCCACGTTTTGCATGTTCATAATATCTTCGCTGTAAACAGAAACAAGATGGCGATGAACTTCAGCAGTAGTTTCTCCTTTCGCGTGAAGAAATCGAATTACTGCACGAGCCTCACTTTTAGCGGGATTTTGAATCGACACGGTCATTTTAAACACACACTGCGAGCACGACGTTGCCGTGACTGTGGCCGGTAAACTCTGTCCTGTCATACGGTTTCTATCTCACACGGCAGCACTGCCATTTCTGAAATTATGTTCCTTGCGTTTTTACTGGACTTGTATCTTTATTTTCCGGATATCTCTTGTATATTTATCTCAATGTACAGATATACAATCATGTTTATATAAGCTATGGAGTTAAATCGAATCATTTCTTCTATATGACAGCTAATACCACATCTGGACCAACTAGCGCCTCCGCGGCAGCGGCCCGTACTACGACTCCAACTGCTGGGCCCAGACATAAGCGCGAAGTTTCCTTCAGAAGGCATCAGAGACGACGTCACGTGACTTCGACGACCACAACACCGGTTCCGCACACGACTTTGCCCCTGGGCACGCCGCCCCGCGTAACAGGACGCGTCCACGAGCAGAGGAAGGAAATGTACACGTTAAGCTTGGAGCCCGCACTGGAGGCGGGGCAGACATATATATTGGATATAAGTTTCAGGGGACTGCTCAAAGATTCCTTGTATGGCTTCTACCGCAGCAGCTATAAAGCCGAAAATGGTACCAAAATGTATGTATTAATTGCCTAAAGAGCAACTGGCATTTATTTAAAATTTATTACAGCTTAAACTGATATATATATATATATATATTTCGATTTTAACTTCTCGCGGCGATGAATATTGTCATGATTTAGGGGTGATCATAGACGGGGGTCAGATTGGTGAATGGATTTATTGACCACTTATACACATGACTTGGAAATAAAAGTAATTACAGCGCTATCTCTGATTTCCACACTTTACAAATAACAACAGCACCCCTTAAACCATTTTCCAGCTTGCTGTGTCTTTATTGGTCATTCCCTGACAACGGCTTCTAACAGTGGAGATTCTTCAACTTCACGCGCTCAAATCCTCTCTTCACAGACTCCCGTACAGAACTCACTTTCCAACTGACAACTCTTGACTAACTGGGTAGTCAAAGTCAAAGTCACATTGCGACTGACGGTCAGTCAGTCAGTCAGTAAGTCTTGGTGTTGGGCCCCCATCTGGGGCTCATGACCACATATTTATTACTGTTTGACATTTACGGTATTGTTTTTGAGGGGCGCCCTCTCTGACGAGAGGACGGGTCTGTCTTTTATATATGCTGCTGGCCCTTGCCAGCGCAGTCTTTCTCGGGTCCGAGTCCCTTGAGACTCGCGACCATATTTTACTGTCTCAGATTTGAGACTTCCCTTTTCGTCGCCTCCTCTGACTCGCAGGGTCACGGTGGAAGTATTCGACCCCGCCTCCACACGGGTGTAACTGGGTAGACCCAACTGTCTTCCTTATAACCACTTTGCACGGACCCTGTAGAAAACCGTTTTCAACAGCAACTCGATTGTTGTGTTCGTATTCGTTGCGGCGGGAACGTGTTTACCGATCCGTTACCTAGAAACGGGTTGCATAACACCGCTGTTTATCCGTCTATTGCATAGCAACTGCTGCACACGCTACCAAATGAAGACTATTATCTTCTGAGATGTGATACCGTGTAGCCTGATAGAACTTCACCGACGTTTCAGAAGAACGCATATCTTTCAAATCACTGTCCTTTTCAGGGCCAGAATTCGTTACTTTTTCCTTGTCTCTAATGGTTTCTTCTGGGTTCCTTTGCAGTCTTGTGTCCAAGTGAGGTTCCCTATCCTCAGTTCGCTCTGCTTGTGTTTTACTACTTCCTGGTTACTGACTTGGTCTTCTCTTAGTTCCTGAAGATGGAGACTGTGTCTTCCTATGAAACATCCGTGAACTTCTACCGGACTACACGGAGTCACGTCACAGAAGATATTCCTCATCATGATTTTCCGTAACTGTCCCTAGATTCTTCCGACCGAGCGACCGCCGCTCGTCGGCGAGTTTAGTGCCAATTTTAGCGGATAGAGGGTGTTGCGTGGTCAGTGCAACGAATCCCCACGGCGTAGTTGGTTATAGCACTGTGTTACAAGTTGGAAGATTGCGGGTTCGATTCCCGATGAGGTCATTGGGTTTTTCAATTGACGCACTCCTTCCAGCCGCACTATGACCCTGGGGTCGACTTAGCCTCTAACAGAGTACCAGAAATCTTCTTGGGGGTAAAGGGAGGCTTTCCGGCTCGTAAGGTTGACAACCTCGACGCCATCTGTGAGCCCAGTGTCTAGAAAATATGGCAGCCTCGACGTCTCATAAGGCTATGGGCCTCCGCGGCCTGTTACAGGGATTTCTTTTATTGCTAGTGGGGTGGGACTAATACCCTTGTACTGCGGCCACTTCTGGCCTATTGTACCAGCCCCAAATGATAGGTGAGGGTGATTGTGGATCAATTGGTGGAATGAAGATTGACAGGGGAAACCGAAGTACTCGGAGAAAACCTGCCCCAGCGCCACTTCGTCCACCACAAATACCACTTGACCAGATCCGGGATGAAACCCGGGCCGCCGCGGTGGGAAGCCAGCGACTAACCGCTTGAGCTATGGCGCGGCCCTGTTACAGGGATAGTTTTTTTATTTTATGCATGTGCATGATGAGTTTCTGTGTGTAACCTGAGAAAACAGAAAACAGATTCTATGACCAATACACTTTTCTCTCCGTAAACCTTGCATTTTTTTTTTTTAGATATTTTGGTATAGTTAGTCGCATGCGCTGTGCTATCCACACATGACTCCGCGTCTTTATTACAACCACTTCAAATAAACTGACGGTGGCTTCTCATGTTGGTACTGCCTTCTTACAGATGGATGGCTGCCACGCAGTTCGAACCGACGCATGCCAGGGAAGCTTTCCCGTGTTTCGACGAGCCTGCCATGAAGGCCCGTTTCGAACTCAGCATTTCCCGTCCAGCCGACATGGTCACTCTGTCCAACATGCCTATCAGGGCTAACGAATCCATGTGAGTCCTCCCAAAGCATTTTCGAATAGAGAATAAGTTCCAACCATACACAGTGACTAAAATATATCAGAGGATGCGTTACCATCAGAGAGTGGCGAAGATTTTCAAGTCATGTAGATTAAATTTTCAAAATACGATTGAAACTGCAATTTATCATACCGGAAATCTCGTTGGACACGAAGGACTTTTCTTCCATAAGGTTGTCTACTCAAGGTATGACGTAATTTGAAAGTTATTTTGCTCAAACAATAGCAGATATCAGCAGCAGGTTTCTTCGCAAACAGATCCTCAGACAACGCTTAGTCTTCTGGGATGTGACGTCCTGTATCAAACTACAAGCTGTCACATCTCAGGGGACTCTAACCTCACCATCTTCTCGCAATTCCCGTGGCACGAATTTATTGCAGTTACAGAAAGAATAACGCGAATTTGTATTCAAAGCGTTACTAAAGATACCAAGGCCGATCACAGTGGACGCGAGGTCTAAGGCATGAAATGTCTTCGCCTACTCGAACACTTGGACCATGGGTTCGAATCCCATTCAAGGCATGGATGTATGTCTGCGTTCATTCTGTGTTCGTGTTAGGTAGGGGCCTTGCGACGGGCTAATCACTCGTCCAAGGAGTCCTACTGAAAATCCTGGATTAAGAAACTGAAGTGAAACGAAGTGTTTCATGGATGTCCCACGATCCAAGTGGGAGCAACAATAATAAGAACAGATGAATAGGTTTGTATGTAGGTAGATGTGTAGTTAGGTAGATAGGTAGGTGGAACAAACCGCGTTCAAAAGAGCAGTTTTCTGGATTACAACGCCATGTAGTCAGCAAGAACCAAGCAGCTTCGGCCAGCTTCTTACGGGTTTCCTGTTCCACTTACTCTTCAACTCTGAAGACGTAGGCGATATGTTCCTCCGAAACATCCAAACATTGAGCTCCCTCCAAACTAAACGATATTACAACCCAGAAAACCAATTCTGTCCACAGTTACCGATATAAGAACCTCAATTCCAACGTTTTGTTACGTATTTATGGCTGCGTGACTAATAATAAATGGGTTTTGGAATGAGTGACTAGATTTATTGATCATTCCGTTACAAACATTGCCTAGGACTCACTCAATTCTTATCTATTTCTGACTCAATTCTGACTGGACTCTCTATTATGAACCACGACTGGTTCCTGTTATATAAAGTTGTGACGGACCGACAGAGAGAATAACTTCAATCTCGTATCTAAGGAAATGACTGTTGATCATCAATTGTCAATAGATTTTCCGTCAAGTGCAACAATATATATTTTGGTCACTTATTTATCTCATCTGCCTTACATGTTTCGGTTCCAAGGAACCATCTTCAGAGGCACTTACAACAAATCATGAAAACACTGGCACAGCTCAACATCCACAGTATGTAATTATTTGTGGAAACTATTACATATATCGGAGTGTAAAGCACAACACTTCCCAGTATCTTGAATGCAGGTATAGCACTTGCATCTAAAAAACCACCCTCAAACCGAGTCGTGTACCGAGTATTGTGTACTGCAGTACACAATACACATCGCGTAAGATACACCCGACCACAAGCCCACACAACCCCGTGCTGACGCCTCCCCCCATTGGGACGATTCACCAAGAAGGAGCCTGAATATTTTACTTGAACGTCTTTTAATTTTTAACTTAAAATTTTAACGTTGACGACTCGGTTTGAGGGTGGTTTTTTAGATGCAAGTGCTATACCTGCATTCAAGATACTGGGAAGTGTTGTGCTTTACACTCCGATATATGTAATAGTTTCCACAAATAATTACATACTGTGGATGTTGAGCTGTGCCAGTGTTTTCATGATTTGTTGTAAGTGCCTCTGAAGATGGTTCCTTGGAACCGAAACATGTAAGGCAGATGAGATAAATAAGTGACCAAAATATATATTGTTGCACTTGACGGAAAATCTATTGACAATTGGTGATTAATAGTGTAACGGACCAAAATGAAACAATTCAAAAAAAAAAAAACTGTTGATCATCTTTATCCATGGACACATCGTCCCGTAACGAGTTAGTTTCCAAGAATCATTCGCTACGGAAACGTGTATGTCAACCCCTTCCATAGCCATGGGTCTATATGTCACAGTACTGACAGGATGTTTATTAGCGGGAAGTCTTTATGACGTACTTGTTTCTTGTTTCAGCGCCGGCCGCAGTGACCGCGTGTGGGATCATTATGAGGTTTCGCCTAATATGTCGACGTATCTTCTAGCAATCGTCATAGCCAACCCAGATTTTATTCCGATAAAAGATACTGGTTATCTTGACACCAACTCGCAGAATGCGAGCTCTCCAGAGTTCAGGGTATACGCCAGAAAGCGGCTGATAGATAGCGCGAAGTACGCCATGTCTGTTGGACCGAGGATCCTCAAGTTCTATGGCGATTTTTTCTCGATACATTATCCGCTTCCAAAAATGGACTTAGCGGCCATACCTGACTTCGGAAGTGGAGCCATGGAGAACTGGGGATTGGTAACTTACAGGTGAGCTCATTTGGAACAATGGTACTCAACCAGTGGGTTGACCTCAAATTTTATTTTCATTACCATTTTATACGTTACTCTACAATACTTTCAATGTATACACTACACAATTTCGAAAGATAGAAAGATTGATATATGATGAATTGGAAAGGATCTGGAAGTAAGACATCCTAGCAATCGAGATACTGTCCCGGAATTTACCTTGAGGGACTGAGTAAAACCGCGAGGGACCTCAATCAGGATTACTCGTGTCCCAGGCCAATACTCGAACCAACCACACCCAGGATACGACTACAGACCATTGCAGCTATAGCAAACGATTCGGGCTCTCCATCTGAAGACGTGCATTTCCGAAAAAGCTATCAATTTTATATGGAATAAAAAGACAATTTTGAAAGTCACCTCCCTTAAAATAACACGCAGGATCAAGAATGACTGTGCTGGCGATAACCGGCATAAATTTATTCTTTCTGGCCCATTCCGTCTGAAAATTTAAATTTCCCCGAAAAATTGACAACGTCCAATATAATAAACAGACCACTGTTAAGAACTTATGTATGATCACCCTGTATCACAGTAAGAGAGCAGTACAACCTTGGGCCTCGGTTCCATGTTAAACATTCTCTTTATGGGTGAGATCTCAAAGCAGTTGTTTGTTTTGAAATTAATAACTTGATGGGGTTCCAAGTGGGCTGCTGTCAGCTCAATGTGCTAATCACAGACAGTTTGAATACCATCACATTTTCTGAAATAACATCTTCTTAAGCCTTTTCATGCCGAAGACAGTCTCGTATTTACAGTTGCAGCAACTGCCCTTGAAGTGATGGATCGTTCTCATTAACAAAACATCAACATCCTCCACGCTCCCGCTTAAACTCTGAGACTATTTGAGCTGCTCATTGCGCTTAAAGGGAGAGTGTAGTGAGACAATGAGAGGGTTTGAGCAGAAGTACTTCACTGTCAGTTAATGACGTAGACCGTTACGTCATCATTACGAAGTTACTAGATCCTGTTTTCAATACACAGGATGATTCTCTATTACTGTCGGGTTTTCAGTGGCCCATAAACAGAAACTCCAACAATAATTTAGAATCACTATGTATTTCCTGTATTCATACGCCAGTGGTATTTCAGATGTATCTACAGGGGAATATTCTTCCGTAAAGTTGGCTACACAAAGAATGACGTACCCTTGTTCGTAGGGCAGTTGGAATTTAGTAAAAATAAAAAATGTAAAGTTGTCGCTGTGCTTAACTAATTAAGCAATGTGATATGAAGACGTATGGGTGAGTTGTTATACAGATCAACATTGTCTTGACCTCGGCACTAGTTGGAGATGAGCGGTCAGCTTCACGTTCTGGCCACTTTACCCCCGAGGAAAACGCCCCGGTTCCCACTAGATAGGAGGTTGGATATGCCTCAGAGACGGTCTGGACGACGTGGAGAAGAGGAAATTCTTGACCCTACAGGGACTCGAACTCCGACATCTCTTGTCGTCCAGCCCTTAGCCAGTCGCTATATCGACTGAGCTATCCAGCTCCAAGGTCTTCAGTAAAACTGGCTGTATGTGGCCTGTGAGTTCTTAACAAAGAGCAGAGGGTAAAATGGACGAAACTTAAAAATATTTGTGTGTGTGTGAGTGTGAGTAGGTTTACATATCCTTCAGCATCTATGGCTATTTGCGTCTAGATAAGAATCAATCTAAACACCATTCGATGTTAATTCTTGTAAATGACAACCTACATTTACCAAAACAATTTGTTTATAAATCCATTAGCAGCTTCGTTTTGGCTTCTGAGCAGGCCTCACTGCCACTTAAATCGTACTTCTTAAATGCTGTCGATTTTATGATTTGCAGCATCCTGTATCTCTCCCCTGTTGATGTTTACGTTTCATCTAATGTGGGTTCGAGTTGTGTGCTATTTTCATTAAACACCCTGTACTAAACAAGTTGCAAGGCAATATGTAAGTAACGTGAAAAATAACTAAAGCGAAGCACAGGAAGATAACTAAATGTCCTAACGTATCATTCACTAATTTACAGAGTAGACATTTGCCTCAGAAGCTGATAGTCGCCCAATCGTGCCTTCATGAAATCTAAATACGCATCGCCGTGATTCGAATGCATTAACCCTAGTATTACTTTCCTTTGTGTCCCAACGTTTTCCTATTCTAATATGTTAATGGCCGATCACAGTAGCCGCGCGATTTAAGGCATGAACTGTCTTCGCTAGCTGGAACGCTGGGATCGTGGGTTCGAATCCAACTCAAGGCATGGATGTCTGTGTGCGTTTATTCTGTGTGTAGATAGGGGCCTTGCGGCGGGCTGATCCCCCGTCCTGGGAGTCCTACCGTGTATAGAATCAAGAAAACTGAAAAAGCGGCCAAGGCCCAACAAAGGGCTTTAGAGCCATAATAATAATGATGATAATAACATATTTATTTATGGTTTACGTAAGAATGCTTTCAGTAATACAGACTACACTTGTACACTGTGCGATATTCTGGCGATTGGTGAGTAATGAAATGAAAAGGATGTTGATAGAAACGGCGGTTGTATAACTTGAGGTGCCAGACAATTGTCTGGAAGGGCTGAAAAAGACCAAGTAATACATCAGTCAGGAAAGTAAGTGTCTTGGTCGAGATTCGAACCGGAAAACACCGGAATACAAATAAGAATAGTTACCATTTGAGCCAACTTCGATACAAACTAATAAGCAAATACTTCATTATGGATGTCAGAGTAGGCGTCTCAAGGTCACTCGTCTTGTATCTCAGGGAAAGCAATCTGCTGTACGACCCGGCCAGCTCCCCCATGTCCGACAAGGATAAGGTGGTCATTATCGTGGCCCATGAACTGGCGCACCAGTGGTTCGGCAACCTGGTCACCATGAAGTGGTGGAGCGACCTTTGGCTTAATGAGGGATTCGCCACATATATGCAGTATGTGGGCTCAAACCACGTGAGTAGAGCTTCAAACATGTATTTCACGAAAAATACGGGCTTTCGGAATGTAAGAACGGCCGGTCACGGTAGCTGAGCGGTCTAAGGCATGCACTGCCTTTGCTCGCTCGGAAGCCGCGATCGTGGGTTCGAATCCCACTCAGGGCATGGATGTTTGTGTGCGTTTTTCTGTGTTTGTTTACAGGTAGAGGCCTTGCGACGAGTTGATCACTCGCCCAAGGAGTCCTACCGNAGTAAATGAATTTTTCAATTGACCTAATCCTTCCAGCCGCACTATGGCCCTGGGGTCGATTCTGCCTCTAACAGAAATAAGTACCAGGAATCTTCCTAGGGGTAAAAGTGCGGCCAGCGCGTAAGGCTGACCTCACCGCAATCTGTGAGCTGATCCTCTAGAAAATATGGGAACTTCGACGTCTCACAATCCTATGGGCCTCCAGAGCCTTTTACAAGGATAGCTTTACCATTTCTACTCTTTCTTCTCAAAGTCTGGTATTATCAGAATACAAGACGTAACAAAATATACCATATTACTGCCTAGCAACGGTTTCTAATACCATAATATTGTTATGTGCTTCAGGTTGAGCCGAGTTGGGAGATGCAGGACAAGTTCCTGGTATACGAGCAACAACCTGCCATGGCCTTGGACTCCCTGAGATCTACACATCCCGTGTCGAGCAAGGTTCAAAATCCAAGCCAGATCTCAGAAGTTTTCGACGCTATTTCATATAGCAAAGGTAAGTGTACTGCCACGCAACCTTCGTCCATGAGTGTACGGCTGACTGGGGCAATCAGCGTCTGACAACCCCGCACACGCTTCATCTAACTGAGAGGCTTTTAACATCGCGTTTAACCCTTTTTACACAGTAAGAAAGACTTCAATATTACATATTAATGCAAAAGAATACATGAGAATCCTTATTATACAGGGTGATTCATTACGAAGCGGACACGATTCGCTAATTATAAATCACGGAATAATTTATGGATAAAAACAAAACTTGGCGAGTACATACCTTTATAAAAGTGCAGGTAACTGGATCACAAAAGATGATGAGATCAGTTTCCAGCCACCTGTAGACGCAAACGGACACGAGGCTTCATTTTCTCGAATGTTGCAGCCAACATGGCAGATTGAAGGAAATGACGCTAACCGGACAGGCAGGCACCTGGTCAGTGTGGAAAACCATATATAATTAATAAATATAATTTTCTTAGGCAAATTATTGCGCGTTTTGTAGTCTCTCATTCGGGGCCTTTCCAAAGTGAGTCAACCTGAACTCACATTTAATGTATTTTGATTAAAATCGAATGTGCCATTGATTTGATTGAGGATAAATAACTTTAATTTTTGCATGACGGTTTGACAATTTGGAAGTACTGGAGGACAATAGCATAAAGGAGCCTATGATTCAGTCTCTCTCTAACGTAATACCAGAGCTTACTTAAGAGGGCACCTTTTTTTTTATTGCTAGTGGGGTGGGACTAAGTCCCTTGTACTGCGGCCACTTCTGGCATATTGTACCAGCCCCAGATGACAGGTGAGGGTGATTGTGGAGCAATTGGTGGAATGAAGATTGGCAGGGGAAACCGAAGTACTCGGAGAAAACCTGCCCCAGCGCCACTTTTCCCACCACAAATCCCACTTGACCAGACCCAGGATCGAACCCGGGCCGCCGTGGTGGGAAGCCAGCGACTAACCGCTTGAGCTATGGCGCGGCCTAAGAGGGCGCCTTACTGAAATAGAAGTCGGAATTCACTAATTTCCTGTTTTCTTCATGTGAGTGTTCAAAAAGGCCGAAAAAATGCAGATTCCAATAGGAGCTAGAAAATGAGTTAAATATTTTGTGTTACGTATCTGTTTCAGGGACACAAACGTTCAGTTTCGGGAAAGGTTTAACCTTTAAATCACAGTGGTTACTATATATACCACCTGCTTTAACACAGTCTGCATTCTGCCAAAAAAAGTGTATTTGTGTATTTCGTATGATTCTCACAATAAACAGATACTGTTTTTCTAAACAGCATTAAACGGTTGGGCTTTGTAGCGGAGACGTAATGTGTTTCCTGTGAGGTACGAACTGAATTCTTATATATTAATCAGAATAAATTCAGTGTTTAAAGTGTTATACATTTATTTAATATAAAAACCCCCTTTTTGGTCCTGGGGTCGACTCAGCCTCTATCAGAAATGAGTACCAGGAATATTCTTGGAATGTTCTTGGAGTAAAAGGGGGCCGGCGCGTCAGGCTAACAACCTTGCTGCCATCTGTAAGCCAATTTTCTAGAAAATGTGGGAACCTCGACGTCTCACAACCCTATGGGCCTGACCGCTGATTCTCTTCCTAATTATGCAATTTGCCTTCTGCTTACCGACAGGTGCATCACTTATACGAATGCTGAACAACAGTTTGACGGAAGATGTCCTACGGAAAGGATTAACACGTTACCTAAATAAATGGTAAGGATACTTTCCTTAGTAAGTAACTTCTTGAAAAAGGATCCTTATTGAGAAGCTTATAATCTTCCAACTTTTTAACAAATTCCCAAAGTTTTATGAACCCTGAAGTTTCAATAGTTTGTTTACGAAATAGACTTCCACTTGACTCTATCTTAAGCCAAACGAATCAAATCTATATATCCATAACCTACATTTTTATTTTAAATAATATTATGCGCTCATATATACCCGTGCATCCCACAGATATGTTTTCTCCATTTCAATGTAATCGATTATAGTCAAGGACATTTCATTGCGACGCTGGTTCTATTGTTGCGTGCGCGTCTTTCTGGCCGTTGCCTAGAAACGGTTCTATTTGTCACAGTAAATAAGTTCTTAAATTTGGGGACGAGATACGAAAATCTTCTTCGTGGATGTAATTTTGAGTCATTTCCTTCGTTCACGATTGTTGTTGCCCTTATTGTTGCTGTTTAAAGGAAGTACAGAAATGCTGAAGAAGGCGACCTGTGGGAAGCTCTTACGGAAGAGATTCGCGAGAAGGCCGCTTCCTCCTTACCGCCCAACGTGACGGTGAAGCAAGTGATGGACACTTGGACACTGCAAGGAGGTTACCCGGTACTCACCGTCACACGGGACTACAGCGCAGGCTCGGCCGTTCTTTCTCAGGTCAGACACACATATCAACACTGGCGTGCCATGACGACGGTCATACCCGTAACTAAACTTTCCCAGTGCCAGATCAGTTGGTATAGCGGATGACTACAGGCTAGGCGTTCGATTCCAGCCAGCGGCAAGGGATTTATCTGTCGTGAACAGCATCTAGGCCGACTCTGGGCCCCAACCAACCTCCTACAAAATGGTTTCATTCCCTAGGGGTAAGGCTGACAACCTAACCGCCATCTACGAACCGATTGCCTAGAAAATGTGGGAACCTCGACGTTTCACAACCCTATGGGCCTCCACGGCCTGTTACAGGGATAACTTTATTTTTACTTACCTCAGAAAGCATTTATTATGCACATTAATGGGTTACACCATTACGAAGGGAGCTAGCAAAGCTTTATCTGAGTATATAACTTTCTCAATGAATATCAACGTGGGCTTCCTTGGTGGCACGACAAATATCCAGTCTTGAAGCATGTTTGGTGTTACCGTAGCCACAGCATCCGTTATGCGGGCTTTCATGTGTTGAAGGTCGTTGATCTTAACCTGGTAGACAATGTTCTTCACATAACCCCGCAAGATAAAATCCACTGGGGTTAAGTCTGGCGATCTATGAGGCCAAGCAATTGGTCCACCACTGCCATCTCTCTGTCCAGGTGATTCCTAACATGGTGGCAGAAATGTGCGGCGCATGCGCGTAACAGATATTACGAGTTCTAGCTGAATTGTCAACAGCGGTCACAGGATATTTTGTGTTCCATTGCAGGTTCGTTTCACCCTGGATAATTCCTCAGCCGACACACTGTGGTACATCCCAGTCAGCTATGTTACGCAAGAGGAGATGAACAATGCTGCCAACTCTGACAGGAGAACTTTACCAAGAATATGGCTTAAACAGGAGTCGACAATAAGAACTGGGTGCTATTTAACATCGATGCTACAGGTACGTTCTGCATAAGTTTCCCTAGCCAATGTCCCTGTCCCTATTATCCAGGACGGGGCACCAGCCCCCACCCATCTGCCCGGGGATCTATTGCACCAAATCTTTTATATGTATATATATATATTTATTTCTGATTCAGTCGGTCTCTCGCGATTCAGTCAAGAATCGTCGTGGGCGCCGCGGAGCCCGAAACCACTAATGACTGTGCTGGCGAGGGCCATCGAAAATTACCAGACCAGATCTATTTACTTCACGTTTCGCTTTCTCCCTTCTTTCTTTCTATTCTCGTTCTTCTTTCTTATCCTTTTTCCATAGCTTTCTATTTTTCTTTTCTTTCTTTCTTTCCTCCCGTCGTCCCTCCTATATTTCTTTATTTACTTCAAGTCTCCTGAACATTATCCTTTTTCTTCCTCTATTAGTTCCTTTCATTCCTCTTTATTTCCTTATTTTATTTCTCTGCTATTTCTTTTTCCTTTCTTTCTTCTTTTTATTTCATTTCTCCCGGCGTCCCTCCTTTGTTTCTTTGCGTCATACCTCATTTTCTTTCATTAAATCCTTTCTTTTCTTCTCTCTCTTCGTTTTATTTTATTTTCTTTCTTTCCACCCTCCGTTCTCCCTTTGTTCATTTCCTTAAATTCGCCCTCACATACTCTTCCTATTTCTTCATTCATTCATTCATTCATTCATTCCGTCCTTTCCCCCATCTCTTCCCTTTTCTCAGTTTATTATTTCTGCCTCTAAAACCGAAAGGACATAATTACACAACGTACCAATCATATCAGCGTCAACAACTGTCTATAATTCCTCAGGCTACTACCGTGTTAACTATGACACCCAAAACTGGAGGCTTCTGGCGTCGTATCTGCTCAGCTCTCCGCCACAGGATATGCTGTCCGCCAGCACTAGAGCCCAGCTACTTGATGACGCCCTCAACCTCGCCCGGGCCGGAGTTCTTGATTACGATGTTGCCCTCAACATGACCCGTTACCTCGCCACCAGAGAGAACCACTACGTGCCGTGGAAGGCCGTGTTTGACAACATGAGGTTCCTGAACACCATGTTGAGGCAGACGCCGGCGTACGGCCTTTTCCAGGTATTGCAAGTTCAGCCCATATCAAAATTCCATTTAACAGATCGAAAGCAAGTACCGAGTTTCTGTGGACTGCAACACTCCAGGCTCGTAATCGGCAGGTGATCTGTTCGAATCTCGGATGGTACACGTTCTGAATGACGTTTTCCTTAATTTTCTCAGGCCCTCCAAGTAATTATCGGGATAGTTGCCTCAATTACGCCAAGGCAGTTTCCAAATCATCCCCAATTCATTGCTCAACCTTTCAACGCTACATCTAAACACACACAGTTGTAATACAAACAAACTCCGTGGCTTTAATCCACAAGCGAACTATACCGACTGAGCGACCGCCGCTTAAGACGAAGTTACTGCCGCCTCTGTGGTCTACTTGTCACAGTTCCTTACTACAGATAAAGAGGTACCGGGTTCGATTCCCGGCGCTACCAGATTTTGTGAGAAGTAGTGAGTTTGAAACAGGGTTCGCTCAGCCTCGTGAACATAACTGAGGAGCTACTTGAATGGAGAAATAGCGGCTCCGGTCTAGAAAACCGAAATTAACGGCGGTGGGGATTCGTTGCGATGACCACGCGACATCGTCTATCAGCTAAAGTAGGCAAAGTGGTAATATAGCCCCCAAAAGAATTAATACCTAGAGGCTGAAAACGTCAGACAAAACACAAAATATGCATCCTAAAAAAAGGTAAAGCTATCCCTTTAACAGGCGGTGGAGGCCCATACGGTTGTGAGACGTTGAGGCACCCGCATTTTCTAGACAATGACCCACAGATGGAGCTGAGGTTGTCGGCCTTTTGTGCCGGGCGCCCTTTACCTCCAGGATGATTTCTGGTACTCATTTCTATTAGAGGTTGAGTCGACCCCTGGGGCCACAGTGCGGCTGGAAGGATTAGGTCAATTGAAAAATTCAATGCATCTTACTGTAATTGGCACTACCATTTCAGGACTACATGCTCAAGGCCCTGGCGACACTGAAGAACAACATGGGGTTTGAACCCACACCCAACGAAACCCAGCCACAGACCCTACTACGTCCCAATGTCCTCGCATGGCTAAGCAGGATGGGTGACCCCGCTGTGGTCACTTGGGCGAAGGATCTCTTTCAACAGTGGACCAATTCATCTAGTCCAGACACGGAAAATCCGTAAGTGTAAAAACTCGTATTGTCTTATGTTGTACTTATCATCAGATGCATTCCTCCTACATGTTCAATTAAAATACCTTTCCATGATGTATCTCTTTGCCTATTACTCCCGGAATAACCCGTTCTCTAACCTGCGCATTCATATGAATGCTGCATGATCAGCGACAAATTGTATATACACTGCCATCTTTTGATAAACATTTGGAACTATTCGTATGCTTTTTCCAGAGTCGATGGTTCAGCTAATAATTATTGAACAGTTAAAGGATAAACAGTTCAACAAGTGTGTTAATTTTATCGACATTTCTTGCTGTATTTTCACTGAATGACTGCTGCCCTAACATGGCTCATTTTTTTTTCACTTTGGCTTTGCTGCGGGTACTCAGAATTCAATCATAATATCCAAAATTGTTAAAATACAAAATTCGTGTTTCAAGCGACTAACTAACTTCACGGAGCTGAGCTCTTCTTGAAAACCCGACGGTTTGTACAGCTACTGAAGAACTTGCCAAAATATTATGGAACCCGACGGTTCATTACCGTGTTCACAAGAGCCTTCCACTGGTCCCTATCCTGAGCCAGATCAATCCAGTCCATACCATCCCATTCTCTCAAAGATCCATTTTAATAGTCCACCCGCCTACATCTTGGTCTTCCTAGTCATATGTTTCCTTCTGGCTTTCCCATCAATATTCTATATACATTCCTCTTCTCCCCATTCGTGCTACATGCCCTGCCTACCATATCCTCCTTGACTTGACCATTCTAATTGTACTTGGAGAAGAGTACAAGTTATGAAGCTCCTCATCATGCAGTTTTCTCCAACCTCCTGTCTCTTCATCTCTCTTCGGTCCAAATATTCTCCTCAACACCCTGTTCTCAAACACCCTCAGTCTGTGTTCCTCCCTTATTGTCAGAGACCAAGTTTCACACCCATACAGAACCACAGGCAAAATTATAGTTTTGTATATCCTAAAAGGTTCTGGACTGAATAGTAGCAGGCATTTCCCTAATTCAGTCTCCGCTTAACTTCCTCCTGAATCTAATTTTGATTTGAACACCCTTCCATCCTATTTTTTCTAAAATTCAGTTTAATAATATCTTCCGATTTGCCTCTATTACTTTTCTTCGTGGTTTTCTACTTCAGGTTTTAGAACTAAAACTTTATATAAGCTTATATCTTCCCTCCCATGCGTGTTACATGTCTAGCACATCCTCCTTGATTCGATTGTTAAAATAATATTTGGTGGTAAGTACATATTATGAAGTTCCTACTCAGTTGGGCCCAATCGATCGGAGATAGGTACTAGCTCTATTGATTGGGCCTAACTGAGTAGGTTTTACCTGAAGACGGAGAGAGAATCGTCTCCGAAACGTCGTGTTTTGAAAAATAAACAAGACGGTGCTTTTGGAAAAAGACAGGACGATGGATAATGTCCAGACACATAATATTTGTATTAATGTACCATCGTCACAAACTTTCAGATCTTATTATGAAATTCCTCACTGGGTACATCTCTCCAGCAGCCTGCTAAATCAACCCCCATTTACAAACAGTATTTTCCTTAATAACCTCCCCGAATACCCTATTTTTCTTCCCCTATTGTGAGAGACAAAGTTCTACACCCGTACGAAACTACATGTAGAATTATACTTTTGTATATTTTAAACTTCGGACCCGGGATAGTCGGTATAGCGACTGGCTATGGGCTGGACGACCGTAGGTTCGGAGTTCTAGTCCCAGTAGGGTCAACAATTTTCACTTGTCCATGTCGTCCAGGCCGGCTCTGTGGTCCACCCAGCCTCCTACTCAATGGGTTAAGGCGGCAGAGGCTTGAAGCTCACCACTTACATCCAGCTAGTGTCGTGGATGGATCTATATATGGATATATGGATCTATACATCCAGTCTCTCATACGCCTTCATGGCGTAGTGCTTAATTAGTTAAGCACAGGGTCAACTTTACCTCTTCTCGCTATCAGACAGCAGACGACAAGGTAAAATGCTGCGAACTGAATGTCCAGACAAAACTCTCCCTTAAGTTGGATCACAAAGTTATTCCTGTCAGAATGTGCGGATCCAGATAAGCCTGAAAGCACAGTCTGTCCGAATGACGTACATGCGAGCGTGTTTTTGCAGAATCCGCGTTGATGTAAGGCGCGTAGTGTACTGCACCGCTGTAAGGTCTGGAGGCCGCGCTGAATGGAATTTCCTACTCCAGCGCTACCTGGCGGCTGAGGACAGACCTTCCGAAGCGGAAGTGCTTCTCTCAAGTCTAGTGTGCACGCATCAGGAATGGCTTCTCATCACGTGAGTAAACTTTGAGGGGCTTAATACATTAACGTATATTGCTGTGTAAGCACTAGAAATATATTAGATTGTACAGTGCGTTCAGTTAAGGAGGAAACTTCGCAACACCGCTGACCCGGCCCAACATTCCTCACAGATTGCTGCTGTAACTGCTGATAGCAGAATGAGCCATTAGCGCTGATAAACGCGCACCGTTACAGTTACAGTAGCATTCTGTGAGGAATATTGGGCCCGATCAGCGGTGTTGCGAAATTTCCTCCTTGATTGAGCATCCTGTATTTTCTTGTATACACGGGAGTTTTCTTCCGTAAGGTTGCCTCCTCAAACTATGATGTAACCTCAGATATGTTTTAGCCTAAGCATACACGAACTACGTGTACATTTAGTGTATGGTGATAAACCTGTACGAGTATATAAAGGAGTATGGAGGTGAATGGAGGACACGTGATAGTCTTTCTTCTTTCAGTAGGTTATTTAACGACAGTGTCAAGCCTATACAGAGTCGGACGGTAGAATGTATAATGAATAAAGAATATGAAAGGAAAAAATTGTCGTGGCCTATTCGAGGTACTATCCCGGAATATTTGTGGAGGGTCTAAGGGAATAGATGAAAAATCTCAGTTCAGATGGTCATAAACCTACAGAGATTCGATCCAAGAACCTCCTGAGTTCAAGTCTAGAGCATTATTTCTACACCAATCTGTTCTGAGAAAGAGAACTGTTGAATTAAAATTCACATCCGTCATGTGAGATTTAAGGTTATCACGGATACGAGTATAGAAGTAAGGTCTCATGGAATGTGACGCCATGTAGATTGGTGAATGGGTGCCAACGTTTTGGAGGAATATTCTGCTTCCATCTTCAGGGCAATGCAGATTGCAGTCATCTGCTCACGCTGGTTCCTCGCTCGAGGATCTTTATACCCTGAAGATGTACGCGATACGTTCCCCCGAAACGTCGGTTTACAAAATATCTACACGGCACCACGTCCCAGAAATCGGCATTCATCAATGTAGTTATTTGTATCAAACATTCCGACACGGAGGCGCTCTGTAACGCAGAACTGTCATCAGCAGTTCACACATTACTGTCCTCTAACGAAGAATAGGCGAGGCAATAATGAGAATACCTAACTGAAATTTTGCCTCTTCAGTAAAATTAAGATTAAATGTTACTAGGAAACAGCATTGACGGCCTCTGTGGTCTAGCGGTCAAGAGTTCCTGGCTACAGACCCAGAGGCCCCGGGTTCGATTTCCTGCGCTACCAGATTTTCTGAATAGTGGGTCTGGAAAGAGGTCCACTCAGTCTCGTAAGGATAACTGAGGAGCTATTTCAAGGAAATAACGGTTCCGGTCTAGAAAACCGAAATTAACGGCCGTGGGGATCAGTTTCACTGACCATGCGACACCCTCTATCCGCTAAAGTTTGCAGTAAATTCGCCGATAAGCGGCAGTCGCTCAGTCAGTATAGTTCGCTTGCGGACTAAAGCCACGGAGTTTATGAAACAGCATGACTCGCCCGGAAATCAAGCGTATGTTTTCAGTTTGCACAGTATACGTGGCAATTTCTTGTTTTCCCTTCTTTTCGTTGGAAGATAGAAGAAATAATAAAATTACATTAAAGAATATAAAAATGAAAAAAAATATGAAAAAGGCAGAAGAGAAATGTGGGGGGGGATGTACGGAAAATGAAACCTGTGAGACACCTGCGTACATTTGTTACAATTTTTTTTTCATTTAAAATTTTTACAATTGGAATAAGAGTCCCTCAGAGGGGATTTAAAGGAAAACAACTTTATCGAACCCACACGTATTCATCGTCTGGTTCATACAATATGGAACAGGTTTAGAACGCGCGGGGACCATGTTACAAATGACAAAACACATAAAAGTAAGGCGAGATTCTGCTTTGTCGCTGAACTACAGGTTGCTGGAGAAAAGTCTCGAGACTGGTGGAGACATACGGCTCCAGGACGCAATCATTGTCTGGGATGAGATATCATCCAATGCCGTCGGCTCCAGGGTGGCATTCAACTACATCAGGAACAACTGGAGTACCATCTACGACAAGTAAGTTTATAGCCAACATCATTTTTTATATTTCGTAGAAGTTTTAACATGAAAAATTGTCCCATTATTTAGAACTTGAAGAATACGCCTGTTCCGGCTTCATCATAAACTTTACTTCTTATTAGACCGTCTCACATATTTGGCTTAATTCCCGTTCCGAATAGCCGGAATAAGTCAGTCGGTATAGTGACTGGAAGAGGTCGGAGTTCGAGTCCCAGTAGGGCCATGAATTTTCTCTTCTGCATGTCGTTCAGACCAGCTCTGGTGTCCACCCAACCTTTATCCAATACATACTGGGGGCCCTTTTCCCCGGGGGTAAAGCGGCCGGTGCGTGAAGCTGACTACTCACCTCCAACTAGTACCGAGGTCAAGAAAATATGGGTCTATACATCCACTCCCCCATACGCCTTAATGATTTAGTGCTTAATTAGATAAGCACAGGTACAACTTTACCTTTTACCCGTTCCGACGATAAATTTCTTCCTGTCCTTCTATCTCTTCCTAGTTCGTCTCATTTCGTGTCTTCCGGCATGACTAGAGCAAGTCCCTTGTAATGGTAAGGTTCTGGATTCTCCTTCCAGTTTCTTTGGTACTGTCTAATTTATTCTGTCCTCTTCTTTGTTTCCAAACGTTCTCTGACATCCCCACTTACAGCTCTCTCCCGCTGTAAGCCCTTGTTATGGACGCGTCTGTCTTTGTCTTGGTATTTAAGTTGCACTATATAGTAAAATTAACATCGATTAATTCTTTAATTTTACAGATATTGTTATTCTTTCATAAGCTGAATTTAATAATAAACCATCTAATACAGCATGTAACCGCCTCTGTGGTCTAGTGGTCAGAGATCCTGGCTACGGATTCAGAGGTCCCTGGTTCGATTCCAGGCGCTATCAGACTTTCTGAGAAGTAGTGGGTCAGGAACGGGGTCCAGTCAGCCTTGTGAGAATAACTGAGGAGCTATTTCAAGGAAATAGCGGCTCCGGTCTAGAAAACCGAGATTAACGGCCGTGGGGATCGGTTGCGCTGACCACGCGACACCCTCTATCAGCAAAATTTGGCACTAACTTCGCCGACAAGCGGCGGTCTCTCGGTTGGTATAGTTCGCTTGCGGACTACAGGTCACAGATTGTGTTTTTTGTTTGATAGAGCATTCAAATTTAATCAATGAATGTTTGTAGGATTTGAGGTTTTCACTACGGTCATTATTAAGATTTCTATCTTCTGGGCTATAACGACGTGTAGTATGCTGAATGTCAACCAACGTTTCGGATAAATATATCGCCTCCATCTTCAGGGCTGAAGAGTAAGCAAAGTAAGAAACGAACATGAAGGCTCTTGCTTGAGTTAGTTTTGAATCATGAAGATGGAGGCAATAAGTTCCTCCGAAATGTTGGTTAACTTTCAACTGACTACACGGTGTAATATCCTAGAACATGGAACTATAATAAACAGCTGATATCACTAAACTGTAAATATTTTCCGCAGATTTGGTAAAGACGAGTTCCTGATGGCCGACATCCTTCACGGATCAATATCCGGACTCACAACAGAGCGCGACAGTAAAGACGTAAGTATTACACGTCTCTCGGAAATTAATTTGGGCTTGAAACTGATCAAATGAGGCGCAAGCTCAACACAAGCTGTAACAACGATTTAATTTCAATTTTTATCAGCTTCCGGAAATGTTTATGCGGTGACTGAGACCTTAAATTCAGGGTTTGGGGTAAGTTTTGTGAATTAAATAAAAGTTCCAGTTTAGAACTAGATAGACGCTCCATTTCAGAGCCAGGTAGACGCTTCATTTCAGAACTAGGCAGATAATCCGGTCCAGAACTAGTTAGAGCTTCACTTCAAAACTAGGCAGACTCTCTACTTCAGAACTAGGTAGACGCTCCAGTATACAATAAAGTAGATTATCCACATCAAAACGGGATAGAAGCTCCACTTCAGAATTTGGTAAAGATCCACTTCAGAACTAGGCAGAGCTCCACTTCAGAACTAGGTAGACGTTCCAGTTCAGAAAAAATTGTGTAGATGTTCCACTTCAAAATGATATGGACGCTCCACTCCAGAACTAGGCAGAGCTCCAGTTCAGAACAAGGCAGATGCTCCAGTTCAGAGAGAAGTGTGTAGATTCTACACTTCGAAACTACATGGACGTTCCACTTCAGAACTAGGTAGAGCTCCACTTCAGAACTACGTAGCCTCTCCAGTTCAGAATAAGGTAGGACTCACACTTCAGAACTAGATAGACGCTTCAGTTCACAAAAAGTAGATGATCCACTTCAAAACTAGGCAGACACTCTACTCCAGAACTAGGTAGAGCTCCATTTCAGAGCTAGGTAGACGCTTCATTTCAGAACTAGGTAGAGCCCCACTTCAAAACTAGGCAGACTATCTACTCCAGAACTAGGTACACGCTCCAGTTCACAAAACATAGGTGATCCACATCAAAACTAGGTAGACGCTCCACTTTAGAACTCGACTTAAGACTTATGTAGCTGCTCCATTTCAGCACTAGAGAGATGTTGCCGTACAGAACAAGGCAGGTGCCCTAGATCAATAGAAAAGCCCAGGGGAATGAGGATCACAGATATTACGATGCAGACTACTGAATGCGTGCCTCCATGCACCGTTGTTGTCAAAATGGCATGGCCGTGATTACTAAACTAATTTCATGATACAGTCCCTTCAATTAGAAATGAATAATTGCGGCTTTCTGGAACGGACGTGATCACATGTCGTTTGGTACCAAACTTAGGAGGAACATACTGTCTTCATCTTCAGGGTAGAGAAGTACACTTCACATTTCAGAAGAGAGTGAATTTAATATTCACCATCATGAAAACTTTGATTACTTAAGATGCACGACGCCATTTAAGTATTTAATGACTGGAATAATTGCAAGTGTTCCCTTGCTTAGGCATCGTTTAGGTAAGCAGCAAGCCACAACTGACCAGTTAGTGGATCTGTCAGGAACAAACTCTGGTAAACTGAGTTTCATATGTTTAGTATCTGCTGAGTGGCAAAACTATTTCAACTTAAGTGTGAGTTCTGGAAATGGATAGATCTTCTACAGCCAACCCCCGATCTTAGGAATACTTACGTTCCCGGAAATAATTAGTGAAACAAAATTTTGTAATCTGAATCTTCAGTCGCAACGTTTTAACTAGCGGCTACTTTCGCAAAAGACAAAAATAAATTACTCAGAAAATAGAAATCGACAACTGTACTGCCTGAAATGGAACATACCATGCTATAAGCTATATTACGCTACAGAAATAGCAACAAATTTGTTAAAATCGTTGAAAAGTAGCAAAATGTTTTAAAACATAGACAAATAAAAAGCAAAGTGTACTTTCGAACTGACTCGGCGTTCATATGGTATCCGTTTTCTTTCCAATGTATTCATTTTTGTTCGGAAGGGCTTTCGGATGAGTGAGTTTCCGTTCGGATGACAGTCAAAGCCTTGAGTTTGCGTTTAATTATATAAAATTACCATAAGAAAAATTCTTTAGCATGTATCTCCGTACAACCAGGATTTTTTTTTTTTTGTATTTACGTTATGACTCAGATAAGCATACGATATATGTGCTTACCTAATAAAATACAATTATCAAAGTGCCGATAACTCTCATTATAGCCGCTTTCGTTATCTCAGTGTAACGAGAACATAAATATCCTATCCGTAGCAATGGTAGAAGCTACCGCGCGGGCTCATTGAGCTGCGCGCGCAAACCCGTTGACTTGTCCTGTTATTTTGACTCACTCATGTTATTCCTTAATACTTCTGCAATATTATAATTGTTCGAGAGGTGAGATTTTTCCGTTTTAGACGCTTTCAAGGACGTAATTACGAGCGTAATGAGATTCATCTGTATTATTTCCGCCGTGTCAGTTCTAGTCCGCCCGTTCCACTCCATCTAGTCACGCAGCAAACATACCGTGAAGGAATTCTCATTAAGTCCAATATTAAGGATTATATTAAGAAGCAGGGGAGCAAGTTAAGTGGATGGTGGAACTAATATCTGGATATAAACTTTAATGATGCTTCTAATTCCAATAAATTATTGGCACTCCGCGGTTTATGGCTCAATCGGTATAGAGAGGGGTTCGATAGCCGATCAATCGGGGCTCGAATCCCAGCAGGTGCAAGAAACTCTAGACCGACCCTGGACATGACCGTGATGTTATTACGTGACAGAAAAAGTAGTAGATATAAAGGGAGACGCAATTCGGACAGTGAATATTTCCTTATGATAGTTTCATTATATGTTTCAGGCCAAAGAGTTTTACGAGACAAACAAAGGGAAATTTAGTTTCGCTGAACTTAAGATGGAACAGGAACTGGAAGAACTGACACTACGTGTAGACTGGCATCACAAGAACTACAACACAGTTGCATCCTGGCTCCAGAAATACCACGACCAGTAACAAGGGCACAATGAACAAGTCTGGTTTATATGCCTTATATTCGACTTCAATTCATGTGACCCTGCCAGACACCGGACATTTTTACGTCGGTGTAAATTTCCCAAATAAATTACTTCGTATGAAGAATGGTAAGTCCTAAAACTCTACACACAAATGCTGTACAACGACTTAAAAGAATTTTGCTCTGAAGCAAATATATAACTAAGAAGTGGATGTGATCCTGCCGTCTTCTATTTCATGTTAGCTTACATTTCGACCCTGAAGATGGAAGCTATATATTCCTCCGAAACGTTGGTTTCTCTTCTATATATACTGTATTGCAGCCCAAAAGACCATACGCTTAAAGTTATGGCAAATTTACTTTTCATGTTAGTGTTTTAAAAGTAGTTCCGTGTTTGTGACCCGGCACGGTATGGTTATAGTTCTACTTAAAGCCCTGTGCAAAGGTCAACGTCCGATACAGGATATAAGCGCGTGGGAAAATGTATATATCTGCTAATAATTTTAAGTATTTCCGCTCACCGATACTGAGCTTTCTATGTATGCATACACATACTCGCATGTGCACTTAGTTATAAGAATATCTGTAATTACCTTAAACATAAAATTACGTCTATTGGAACACATAAATAAAATCATAAAATAGTAATGTAGTTATACACGTTTAATCGTAACATCCTTCTATATGTACACTAAACCCTCGCTAATCCTGTTACAGTTATTCAGGATCGAAAAATAAAAAGAAATAAAAATTATGTTAAGGTTGAGTACGTACTTTAAAAGACACGTGGGATTTGTAGGGCAAAGAGGAGTTTCAGACTGTGCTGAGGGCAGCTGGAGAGACTGAAACCATGGAAGAAAATATCCAAGATTGGCTTCAGCTGGATGAAGGAGACCCTGGATTTCAGCTTCAGACAGAGGAAGAAATTACTGCAGTGATATTTTTTCCATTTATTTTTTCTAACTTTCTTTTGTTGTCTTTTAGGGTTATCACTTAATCCGGATAACTTCNAGACAGAGGAAGAAATTACTGCAGCGATATTTTTTTATTTATTTTCATCTTCATTATCTGTATAATTATTTTTTCTAAGTTTCTTTTGTTGTCTTTTAGGGTTATCACTTAATCCGGATAACTTCCCTTGCAATCAGTCCGGATTAGCGAGGGTTTACTATATATGTAATGATGAGACGAATGCTCCGAAAGCATACAATTTCAGGTTACGAAAGCAACGAATTATCAAACGTTAACATGTTGCATGAACGTCAGTTATGTAGTAAGAAGGGGACGAGCGAAACTACTTTTTTTCAGTTTATCGTGTCTATTCTGTGAGTACTTGTAACACTGTGATATAGAGCGACAAATGTAACAAACCATATTAAGCAGACGGTTTACGAGTAGTTGTGCGTGTTATTCGTTGGGGATTGCGTTAAACGTCGGCCTCGACGCATCACCCGATAACATGTAGGGGCTGGAAAGGAATATGGGAGCATAGGATGTTAATAGTACGAAAGCTTATACAATAAATGATGGGGCTTCCCCTTTAATTCTGAACGATTATTACACCCATAATTACATTAATTAAATGCATTCATGTAACTGAATAATCCGAATGTACATAACCCATTATGCTGAATCTCAAATCCAGTTGGAGTTGCATCTATAATTTGATGTCAGTTTATAATTGCTATACATTAAAGCATCCAATTTTTTTCAGTAAGAGCCGGGAGAGCTCAGTCGGTATAGCGACTGGCCACAGGCTGGACGACAGAGGGGTCGGAATTCGAGTCCCGGTAGGATTAAGAATTTTCTTTTCTCCACGTTGTTCAGACGGGCTCTGTGGCCCACCCAACCTCCTATCCAATTAAAAACAAGAACTTTTTCCCCGGGTGTAAATCGGCCGAGGAGTGAAGCTGATCACTCGCCTCCAAATAGTGCCGAGGTCAAGAATACGTGGATTCATACATCCATTCCCCCATACGCCTTCATGGCTTAGTGCTTGGTTAAGTACATGAACAACTTACTTGTTTCTATGTTAACGCTGTTATTCTAATTTTTGATCTAATGTTCTCACAACAGTTACTATGAAAAGTACTACCTACTGGGAGTTGACACCGTGCAGTCTAATAGTTCAAGTATGTTATTAAGGAACGTTCTGCCTGCATATTCAGGGTCGAAGAATAAGCCAAGCAGACAACCAGCAAGAAACAGATAAAAGGTGGTTGGCCTCTTTTTCAGCCCTGAAGAGATGTTAGGATCCTTCTACCAGACTACACGGTGTCACATCCCTGTTCAGGTTACAGTTATGAGAATCATGATATGAAACTAAGACTAATATTTTCTATTTTCTATAGGCAGTGTTAATAGTTATTTTGTACAGGGTGCTCGAAACGTTTTTAAAACCACAATTTACGCTTTCTTCTCCAGGCACTTAAACAGAAACTTGCCAGATTATAATGAGAGATTACGTTGTATTTCGTTGCTCCGTGCCATGTAAGTGCCATTTTTTTTACTTCTTTTTATTCCACGCACGATATATCTCGCTTAATTACTAGATATTTGTCTTTATTTCTTGGTTTTCGAGAATATCGGTAAAAAAATATGTTCCGACAGCTCTCGGAATTTAAGTGTAATTAATTCTAACATATGAACAACGTGAAATATACATTAATATGAAAATAAATTAATGCAATAAAGTATCTTTAAATATAAACAAGAATGGTACTTCCGAAACGTCGGTTGGCTTTCACCACGCTACGAGGTTTTATGCCCCAGAACACAGAACGCTATAGAACAGGAAGGGTTAAGCATTTGGACGTGCGTGTACCGTGTTATGTTGCACCCTATGCTGACACCGCATTACCGTTTTGTTTCAAGGTAGTTCTGCAGCCGTGCTGGACTTGTGCCTGGGACAGACATTCACGAGAGTTTTAATTTTATTGAAGGAGCATATTACGACACGCGAATTAATAAATCTGGAAAATAAAGAAGCTATAAGATTAATGAAACATGATAGGGTTAGAAGTACAGAATACTAACAGTAACAAAACGTTAATTAATTGATATTAAAAAAGAATTTCGAGGTACTAAAACATTTAATGATTCAGTTATATTTCCGCGTATATCGAAAACGCGTAAAACGGGAAACACAACGAATACTTATCATTGTGGAAGAGATGGAAACGCCATAACCGAATCAAAATGGTTGGACGAGTCACGGAAAGTGCGCGCGCAACTCACTGGACATGCGCGGCGGCTTCTAAAGAGACAAATTAGAGATTACCGATTTACGTCATGACCAGGGCCCGGATTATGATGACATGTCATCTTTTTTTCCTTGTATCCTATGCGATGCTCTTAAATATATAAATCTCGGATATGAGCTGCTGGTTACAGAAATGTAAATTTTATAGGTAATTTTTTGTCATATTTTGACATTCTTAGGTTTAAGGTCATTTTTTTCATTTTGGGGGTAATTTTTTGGTAAATTTTTGGACTTTTAAGGGTATTTCTTGTCATTTTTGGCCATTTTAGGGAATTTTTCTTCATATGTTTTCTGAAATACATGAATGTATGAATAACATGGAAGCGAAGTGTTCTTTCTTTTCTCCTTTAGGTCATTTTTCTGGATTTTTTCGGTCATTTTTCAATATTTTCAGGTCAGCAAAATCCGGGCCCTGGTCATGACACTAAATTAAAACCACGGATATGCGAAACCTAGAATAACGACAGTCACATGTACAGTATTAATTTTGCAGCGCACAAATTTTATTTCTAATGTATTGAGAGATAAATGGATCTGACAAATATACATTATTACTACGAGTAACTAATTCGCAAGTGTATATATCTTAAAAACAACAGTCCTAATTGCAAATTTATATTATATGGTTTATTTTATTCAAGTGAATTTGTTAAAGCTTGGATTGTGTTCTAGTAACGCTGCTACAAACAATTTTTAAATAGCTTTAATTGTCCTTTGGTTACTGTTCCTATCAGGACAAAATTCTGCGCATTACTGTATATATAATTACATAAAACTAGATGACACGAATTCGAGGAGTGTTGTAACATGTTTTGTACTTTGTTTAAAACTATAGTTTGAATGTCTAGTTTCAATAAATCAAATAAAATTGTTGCTTTCTTATCTAAAACACATAATGACATATAAATTTAAATATGGTCACGAGAACAAAACATATATCAAAATAACTAAAAAAAAAGAATAATTTATTTTGTACACCGATTAGACTATTCACTGAATGACCAAGGAATCGGGTTTCGATTCCAGAGATTTTTCACTTCTACACAGTGTTCAGACGGGAAGTGCGGGCCTATCCAACACCCAATACGAAATATACTGGGTGACTTTTACAAAGTAGTAAAGGAAACGGGCGTGAAAATATATAGCCACCTGCATCAAGCACAGTGTTTACGAATGCGTGGAGGTCTCCCTCCACACTCCCACACCACTTCATGTAGTGGTGCTTAAATAAACATAGTGAACAAAATTTAGAAGATGGTCTAAATGTATTAAGTTTCATAAAATATTTCAAATACATGGAAATAGACACGTTGCACCTGGTGCTGAAATTAAGGATAATACAATTACACAGAGTGATTCTAATTTATTGTCGGAATTTCTGTTTATATGACACGGAAACACCGACAATAATATAGAATCAATTATTTGATTAAAAACCAGCATAACATTACCTTTCACATGAACACGCGTATGAAATTAAATGAAATGAAACTGAAAGATGAAATTGAAATTTTGTCCCACATCAGGTGCAACGCAACGTCAAATACATGTTGTGTGATTCTGTGTTATGCGGCAATATTTCTATTAAGGGAGTATTGTATTCAAAATGGAATCCTGTATAGGCAAGAAAGTGAGAGACACTGAGAGAGAGAGAGAGAGAGAGAGAGAGAGAACTTATACTGAAGATATCTGCTGTTTTCATAACGGTAACTATGACGCTTATTACCTTATGAGGTTGGAGGGCCGTTTTGCCTCCATCTTCAGGATATATTTAACATGCAGAAAAGAAATTTCTCTGAAACGTATGTAGAGTTCTACCAGTCTATACTGCAATTTCTTCATTTTTTTCATCCTGTTGTCTATTTCTATATTACCGTTACAGAACTGTCAACACAACAAATTCGTACAAGTTTTCTGTGTTGATGGCCATGTAACAATGTTATATACTGTAATACTCAGATTTTAACTTACTTCTAAACATTACTATATTCTGACACCGTAAAATCTGACAAAAATAAAATGAAATATGTTACTTGCCGGTTTGCTTGTTTGGTATACTCTTCTGTGCTGAATATGGAGGTGATATGTTCCTCTGATATGTCTAACTAACAGACTACTCTTCGTCACGTAGTTCCACCTGTGAGAACACAAAGTCCAACACAGTTAACTTACAGATATTTGCCATCCATTGCTAGATAAAAGTATCACTCAATGTGTACATGAATATAT